TTGATTGATTGATTGATTGATTGATTGATTGATTGATTGATTGATTGGACTTATATACCGCCCCATAGTGCTACAAGCACTCTCCGGGCGGTTTACAATTTCATTATACAGGCTACACATTGCCCCCCCAGCAAGCTGGGTACTCATTTTACCGACCTCGGAAGGATGGAAGGCTGAGTCAACCTTGAGCCGGCTACCTGGGATTTGAACCCCAGGTCGTGAGCACAGTTTTAGCTGCAGTACAGCGTTTTAACCACTGCGCCACGAGGCTCATTTTTGATCAGATTCATCTGGCTGAAAGCCTTTTCACAGCTAACTGTAGAAACTGGTAGGACAGAGGCAACTTTAAGGAGCTTCAAAAGAACAGAGAACCTACACCCATGGTGGTTCATTGCCTTTCCCAGTAAATCCACTGATGACAGACCTTTTGCACATATTTTGAATGCATACCATTCATCCAGGGCTTTCTGAATTATGTCTTCTTTGCCCTTGTGTTGCAAAAGGTCTTTGTAACGAGATACAAGTACAGTTAATTCCTTTTTACCAAAACTTTCCAAGGACAATTCTGGCCATGTGAAAGTATCAAATATTGACATAGATGTTAATATGCCATCTGTAGCAGCGTTCAAAAAGTGCATCTTTATGTCAGCCATTCCCATCTCAATAGTTTATTTTCTTTTCCTGCGGGGGAGGCAGCCAGAAGCAACAGGGCCCAATCCTGCAGAGCAGAGGAAGACCTAGCCGGCTCTCTTGACAAAAAAAAGGCTGGCAGCTACTCAACTACAAACCCACTGTCTCTCACTCAGTGAGCTGTAGGGGCTGATGTGAAAGTGATTTCCATCTTGATCATCTTCATGTGATTTTCATATTTTATTTTGTAATCAATAAAACAAGTTTTATTTTTGAAAGAAATCCTTGTTCTTTTTATTTAAAGGAAAGGTTGGTGGCAGCAAGAGTGTGTGGTAGCGTGGTGACCATTCTGAGAAGTCCGAGAGGGCAGTGACGTCAGAGTGGGCCACAGCCATGTAACATCCAGCATGGGACTACTCTACATTCTCCTGCTGAGCTATATCTCTATGTGATGCTCGAACTCTCTTCTTGTGAGAAGAGCACAGTTTTCCTTTTGCAATGGGAGGGGGGAGAGGAGAATTGCAGGATTAGAGAGAGAGAGACAGGTGGAGGGGAAGGAGGCAGGGAGAGAGGGAGCTGTGACTCGTCGAGCAGCATTTTTCACTCGTCACAGACGAGTGGACAAGTGCATTTTTCAAGCCTTGCCCATTACCTATTCTGTATCCCTTAGTCTGTTGTCCTCAGATGCAGTGTATCTTGTCCTCTGCACCAAATTCAACTGTTAGTTCAGATCATTTTTGTATAGGGAATGGGGGAGCAGTTTTCCGCTAACAGCAAAATGTCTTGGGTCAGCACAGAATACATAGCATATGAAAGCAGCACAAGTCACAACTTACGGACTTCTTCAACAACATCTGGATCACATTCTGTGTATTTATCTAATTCTGCCTTCAGGTGGGCTTTCTTCTGTTGAAGAGCGGCAAGTTCTTTTGTTAATGCAGCACGTTCTGCCTAGGTTGTTTATTTTTGGAAAATCCAAAGTTAATCACAAAAAGTAACAATTACAATGCAAGGTAATTGTTCTGTTCTACCTTCTTTTCCCTCTACAAATGCAAATAAAATATTTGTACTTGTGGCAATGATTGCACAGGACAGATTTTACATCAATATTTATCTGAATTCTATGGAGAAAGCGTTCAGTACTCTTGCATTTAGCTATTCAACACAGTTTTCCCAATATTATGGTGGTGGATCCACTAGCAACTTTGGAACAGCATCCCAGCAACACCATGGTATTGTTAAACGGGAGAGAAGTAGCCAGCCCCCAATATGAATATTTATCTTTATCAGCAATTGCAGAAAGATATAGGGAAAAGGATTTTTTGCTTTTCCTTTCTTTTTTTAAGGAACATCAACTCTTAATCCAGCAGTGCATAAACTGCAGGTCCCTTGCAGTGTGGAATCCCTATACTCACCCCACCTCGTTCCCTCTGCCAATGTTGGAGGCCTTTGTGACCATAGCATTAACAGTGGCACAAACCTGGCAATGCTGGTCAGGATCATTAGAAGGGAGAGAATACTGCCTCTTCCTCTATCCCTCAGATTGCTTTTAATGAACTTTACCCTCAAGTGAAACTAAAGCAGTCTCTGTCTCCACAATGCATATGTTTGCACACATGCTAATATATGTATATATGCAAAACTCCATGCAGGTATGCAGATTGCCTGCTCAGTTGATATCGGCTGCTGCTATCAAACATGAAAATATTGTGTCCGTTTGCTTTTAGGCAAATACACACACCAATAGCCGCTGCCCTCCAAAAAACAGATATAGTAGGTCCCCCACATCCGCTGGGAATTGGTTTCAAGCCCTTCTGTGGATACTGAAAACCATGGATAATAGCAAACTAGATAGATAGACAGACAGATAGAAATGGTAAAAGAAAAAAATGCAAGAAAAAATTATTTCACATGCATTACTGGAACTGAACACTAGAGGGCACTGGAGAACATGCTATGTATTCTTTACTAGTATATAGAATGGTATCTGGCTCCTTCTAGTGCTTGGTTCTGGTAATATATATATTTCTTCCTGGATTTTTCCTTTTGATATTTTTAATATTTTCAGACCGTGGATAAGTGAATCAGTAGATATTGATCCCGTAGATAAGGGGGGGGTCTTACTGTACTATTGCCAGTATAGAACTGTCTTTCATAGCAGAGAATTCTAGATGAATTATCCTTCCTACTGGCAAGGAGGTGTTGTTAAGAAAACCTTTTCAGTATTAATCCCCTAAAGTTTTCGGATTATAATTTCTTCTGGATATTTCTGAATTAAAAAAAAAACTCACAGTGTCCTGGCGTCCAAATTTTGATTTCTCAATGCTCTCCTCTAAGCTTTTTTTCCTCTGGCAATATTCTGAGAACTGAAGAAAGAAAAGAAACAGCACATGTCTTCATGTATAGATCTGATTTTGACTTCATTTTTTATTTTTAAGAAATAACATATGGTTAGCTTTAATTAGCCTTAGTCTTTAGTGATAAATCAGGAATCTAATCAACATGCATTTCATAAGAGTTTTCATAAGGCAGAAGATAATAAATTCTTTTAAAGTTTTAAGCACATTAGTTAGCAAAATAAAGTGCAAAGCCTTCTCTAGCAACATTTCACAATCCCCTTATATTAAGCCCTTAATTTAAGAGCAAAAACAACTAAAGGTCTTATGGTACTTTAAAGACTAACCATTTATTATGGCAATGTCTCTAAGCTATCACAGGTCAAAACATTGTTTTTGCTGCAATACTAGCACCAATAAAACTTTACAAACTGATTTTAAATGGATTCATTTGATGTCCACAAAATATTGAAAGGAAAGGAAAATATATACAGCATAAGCTTAAGAGGTACTTCATGTCTTACAGGAAGATCAGCCTCTGTGCTTCTTTCTAAAAATGTCAGTTAATTTTTTTACCAGAAATTAAAGGAAATATACATATTTACATTTCAGCATCTCTTCATAACTTAATAGGTTATAAATCACTGCAGGTGTGAAATGCAACTTTATACCATTTCTTAGACCCTAGCATGAATGTTTTACCCTGTGATCTCTGTATTTCATCTCATACTTCTGAAAAAGTGGTCACAGAAGGTCCACAAAAGCTTGCATTAAGATGCCACATTTTCGTCTTTAAAATTTTTTCCTCTTTAAAAATTTTCCATTTGTTTTTGACTTTCTTGCACAAACTAACACGGCTATCTCTTCCAAACCCTCAGAATTTGTCACAAATAAGTTTACTGACATAAACCATATAGATCCGGGCCAAATTGTTGCAAATAGAAACAGTAAACTTATTCATGCGCTACAACACTACAGACTACAAGAGCTCCTCCACAAAACTCTCTGAGCTGTACAGAGATGAGCCCCTTGAAATGGTTGTGGTAGGATGCTCTCACCTGCTTCAGATCACTGCATGTGCAGAAAAACAGGGCTGAGACCATGGATCAAGAATGAAGTTTTGGTGTTACATCCTTTCCATAAGAAGTCTCAGTACTGAATGGTGCTTAGGCATCTTTTTCCCTCCCTTAGCTGAGCATTTCGGATAACTTCCCCCATGGAATTTGCCACTGCAGTCCTTGTGGTGATGAAAGCCTGTTTTTGCAATTTCTTCTTTGCAGGCAGAAAGGAGCAGCTCAGTTACTTGCTGCTTTAAGTCATGGCTGACTACACCTTCTCTGTGTTTTTTACATTAATTTCTGATTATTAAAGTGATAAGAAAATAGGAATCACCTTACACTGTCTACCAGTTATCAGGCCACTGGTCCATATAGCTTAGTACGATCTATACCAAGGGTGGGTAACTTGATCTTTCATGTATTTCTGGACTGCAAGTCCTATAATCCCTCATAATTGCTGTCTGGGGCTGTTGGGAGGTGTAGCCTAAAAAACCCTGGAGTGGGGGCATGGTCCATACCGAATAGTTCTTGGTTATTCTGACATGTTTTTCCAGGAGGAGTTGGAAATTAAGCTTGGAAATTTTTGCAGACAAAACATGTTCACTATCACTGAGTTAAGATGGCACAGGGAAAAACAACCTTTGGTTGAATGCAAAAGTGATGTTGGAAAAAAAGTTCAGACCATAAAGCTATTGCATTGTTGTACTACTGATCATACTCTGTACAGTGCATCGCTTGTAGTGTGGAAGAGCCAAAATTAAAAACAGGCTTTGATAGTGTCATCCTCTGCATATGGCAGATTTGCAGTGCAGTCCTGTCTGCAGTTTCATAATCTTTACTAGCCCAGCTCAACAGATGTTTTAGGGAAGAATGTTTAATTAGCTTCATTCTAGATTTTTTAAAATCCACTTTTCCTCTTTCTAAGCAGCAGAGCTCACCTCTTGTAAAGTGAAAGAAAGTTGTCATCAACATATCCTTGTTTTGAGAGAGAATGAGGGGGTTTGATCTGAATGCTCTGTCTTTTCTATAATAAAGCTTCAACTACTCTTTTGCCTTAAACTAAAAGCTTTCCCCCTTAATTTCTTTTTGAAACAGAAGAGTACACATACAACACCATTGAGAAAAGTCTTTATTGAACAATTTATAAGAGAAAAATTTAAGGAAGCTACCAAACAAAGCAAATGGTTTAAGACAAGATCATAGACTCATTGTACAAAACAGACCAGCTTTTCCTAAAGCTAGATGAATCTCTAAGGAAATTACACCAAGTTACAAAGGAGAGGGAGTTGCCATTTAAGCTCCCTTAAAAACCTTGCATACTATAAGATGTTACTCATAAATTTGCAGCCATAGGGAGCTGAGCTGGTGCTCAGCTTTTTTTCTTGAAAATACATTCTAGGATCAGGCATGTTTTCACCCTGTCAGTGCCACTACACTTGGATAAGAGGCACAGCTAGAGGTTCAAGCTTTCCAAAGTTGGCATGAATGAGAAGCAGAACAGCAGAAGTAATAGTTATAATAAAAAGATTGCTAAAAAGAAAAAGAAAAACGAGAGCCTCTATACTTCATTTTATTGGGAAGCCTACATCAAAATTTCTCACCAAATTTGACTAAATGGTGGGAACAGAAAATAACTCACTGAATAATAACATGCTTAGATACATTAGGGCCCTTGCCCTGGAACTTGATGCTGTGTCAAGGTCCTATTCAAATCAGAGCCTTGTTTTGGCAAGCCCCTTGCTGTGCTTTCTGCTCTTTCTTACGTATATGTTCCTTATATGCCCTTTCTAAAGAGCTAAATCTATCGTGAGCAGTACAGTTATTAATTATCTGTAATCAAACTTTACTTAACTTATACGCCGCCCACACTACCCAAAGGTCTCTGGGCGGCTTACGACAATTTAATTACTGTAGTTGTTTTTTTGTGTGATTTAAATAATTTCTTCAATAGTAGCTACATTGAGATTGCAACCATTTGGAGGGTGGTTGGAATGTAGGTGTTTGACTGTACATAAAAGTAGCTATTTATATATTGTAGAAGAGGTCTGCCAAGATTGTTTAAAGCTTTGACATGTACTTTTCACTCTGCAAAGCTCTCAGTCTGATAAACCTTTCCAACTAATGAATCGCGATAAGATAGTGACTTAAGATATTGTGCTTCTGTTATACTACAACATAGCTTTTTTTCTGGGAAAATAATAGTAAGAAAGATTGCATACTATGGGGCACAATATTTGGCTGTACAGAATTTGGTAGGTCAGAGTTTATGTAGACTTGGTAAAAAACCACAGCACAGAAACAAAGCTTGAGAAAAGAACAGTTATATTTATTAAGAATTCAAGTAAATGTATGGCTGCACACTTATTAATCTCTTCCCAACATACAAGAATCACTGGGAAGTCTGATGGCTATTTCATATATTTATTGAAAAGATTAAAACATGAAGAGAAAGCACCAATATCTAAACAGTTGCCATACATGACTCTATGTCGCTAAGTAGTTTTAATTATCAGTACTGTGTAGTGCACAAAACATAATGCATGGACTATTAGGTGGAGTAGCTATATTGTGTTTCTGAAGCCGCTTGATGTTTTGCTTACATAGTACTATTTGAAGGCTGAGAATGTTTCACAATCTATCATGCATTCTACATTGCTAAGATTCTGTTCTGTTGATTCACTTTCAGCTCTCTCTCTAGCCACATCCCCTTTAATGCTGAAGCCATTCAAAAAGATGTCCTAACACAAGGATATTTTTACAGAGAATTAATGACTGGGATTGAAAGGGCCCTATCAAGTCCAACCCCTGCTCAATCTAAATCAAAATATATCAGACAGATGGTTGTCTCATTTTCCATTGAATGCCTCCAATACTGAAGTGCTCACCACTTCCTGAGGTAATTGGTTTCACTGCCATGCTGCTCCGACAGGAAATTTTTACTGATATTCAACCGAAATCTGGCTTTCTGTAATTTGAGCCCATTATTATGTGTCCTGTACTCAGGGATGAAAGAGAACAGATCCTTCCCCTCCTATGTATAGCAATACCTCAAGTATTTGATGAATGCTACCATATCTTCCCTCAGGCTTCTTTTCTCAAGGGTAGACATGCCCAGTTCTTTCAGTCTTTCCTCATAGGGCTTGGTTTCCAGTCCCCTGGTCATTCTTGTTGCACTTCCTTAACTTGTTTCAGTTTGTCGGTGTCCTTCTTAAACTAATCCAGAACTAGCCACAGTACTCAAGATGAGGCCTAACCAGTGTCAAATAGAGGGGAACCAGCATGTCATTTGATTTGGAGACTATATGTTAATGATGTCTAAAATAGCATTGTCCTTTTTTAGTCACATTGCACTGTTGGCTCATATTCAGCTTTTAATTTACACCAACTCCAAGATTCTTCTTAATCATAGTATTACTGAACCAAATACAGTGGTGCCTCAACTTACGAACGTCCCTACTTATGTCCATTTCGAATTATGACCAGCTCTGACTGCAAAATTTTGCTTCTACTTGCGACCGGAGTTTCCACTTACGAACTGAAAAAGGCAGGAAATTAAAATTTCTAACTGTAGGTGGCGGGGAGGCTGCTTCTATGTAGTTCTTTCGCCCTAGCAGTTAGAGAGTGTGTGATTGGAGGAGCCTGCCTGGTAAGGGATGGCACTGTTTCTGCTTTTAAAAAACTGTTCTGGGTGTTTTTGCAGCATGGTTTTGGGCTGGGGGGCTATGTTTCTGTGCTGTGATGGGTCTTGGGGGGTTTGTTTGTTTTTTGGTTCCCCCCATTTCCGATGGGTCTTGGGGGGTTTGGTTGTTTTTTGGTCCCTCCCATTTCCGATGGGTCTTGGGGGTTTGTTTGTTTGCTTGTCGCTGCTTTGCTTTCCCCCCATTTCTTATCTGTCTTGCATGTTTCGCTTGCTTTTTGCAATGCTCTTTCCCTATTTCTGATCTGTCCTGCATGCTTTGTTTGCTTTTTGCA